AGGAGCCCAGCAACACGATGATGTACACCAGCCCTGCTCCAGTGCTGCAGCCCTTCCCCAACCCTTTCGGTGTTGGAGCTCTTCTTTCTATGGCTTCTCTTCTCCACAAGACCATCTCTTTGCTCTCCCCCTGTGCGTGCAGCTTGGTGCCGCCTCCTGTAAAGCCCCAGTGGACGCCCTGCTCCATGCCCTTCACCCCAGCCCGGCTCCCCCTCGAGAGGCTCACAGAGCCCAGGGGCCACCGTGCTTGCGCACGCAGCTGTTCTAGGAGGAGCTGCTGAGCGGATGGGTCCACAGAAGTTTGAAGACGCATTTGGGGCCTCAGTTTCCCTGCTCCTCTGGGAGCCTTTGACCCCAGTGCCCCCCAGGCTCCGGGCATTGCCCAGACTGGCCCGAGGTACACTCACCTTACCCAGAGGGCACGCCTCCTCACTGCCACCCTCCACCCCAGAGGCCCACTGCCTGGGCCTCTCCTTGTCCATCTGCCCCCGAGCCTCTGTCGACCCCTCTCCCTCCTCATTCACAAAGGCTGGCGCAGCCCCCGTCGGGGTTTTTGGTGGAAGGACTGGCCTGCTGAGCGGCAAGCCTGAGGGAGAGGTAGGACCGTATCGGGAGGCGGGAGGACCCACATCCGTTCCCAGCCGGGCACCCGACTGCTGCCCCCTGCAGCACCCCACGCTCACCTGGTGTGGACAAAACCTCTTCCCTTGGTTCAGCCTAGCATCTGGTATAAGGGCAGATACAAATAATCATGTTTGCAAAGGACGTTCCTAATCATGTAGCGAAACTTCTAGAAAACGAGTGGGTGCAACTGAAAAGCTCTGGGGTCAGGACCAGACCCTCCCCACACCAGTGGATGGTCTCGGTCAGATCAATAACTTCTCTGCCGCCATCACATCCTCAACTGGGAAATGAGAATGCCTGTCTGCAGGGTTGTCTGAAGATCACACATAGTCACTATGCACTAAGGGCTTGGGGTCACCACTGTGCCGAGAGGGCCCTTGGAGGCGGCAGTGAGTGTGATTACTGCTGTATTCCTCTTGCCATAAAGAGTTGCTACCAGCCTGCAGGTGGCATCTCACGAGAATTTGTTCCCAGAAGATTAGCCTCGGCGCTGGTGTGCCAGGAGCATATCAATTTCAAACACTTACAAATGTCCTTGTCGTCACCGCGCGTTAAAGAGTTGAACATCAATTCTTTACTTGTGGGGTGACCTTGGGCAACTCTGGGAGCCCCTCTGGGCCTCAGTTTCCTACCCTGGAACCTCAGACTCACAATAGAGATGAGGACTGAGAGAGATCCTGGACCCGGGATGCCGTTCCCACCCAGGACCAGCCTGGACATCTACGCCAGGTTTTGTTTGTACCGTTGCTGGTGGCGGTGTGGGTTGCTTCTCCAAGGATGCTGACACAGTTAACTCCACACAGAGGAAAGGTGCTCAAGTGGAGAAGTTTCAGGCACCCAGACAAGGCAGCTGGGAGATGTGGGCACTGTAGCCAGTCCAGTTTCTCTCACTGACACGCAGCGCTGCCTGGTTCCATGAGAAACATCTGCTCTGCGTCCCGGGATCCTCCCCCAGGCCAGGACCAAGGGGCCGGAAACACCGAGACGCCACAGGGTACGGCAGGCAGTACTGCTCCACCCCTTCCTGGCTGGAAGACACTGGGCAAGTCACCTAACCTCTCTGGGGAGGGAAACAAGCAATCCCTGTAGAGAGGATTACAACAGTGTCCATGGTGAGGCAGCACGGCGCTCTGCGCCATGACACTCAGAAGTAGTAGCTGGTGTTCCCTCAGCCAAAGGGGTGGCAGAACTAAGAACCGAAAGCCTCCCAAGCAGACCTCAGACTCACCCTGCGTGGGTGTCGCCTAAATTATCTCCTTCCTCTAGCAGATCCTCCTGAGAACCCTTGGGATCTGTGGGTGAAAACAAGGAGATGCTCACACAGCCCCAGACCAGGGCCACGGCCTCTGGGAGCAAACAGGGGAGGGGGGGCCAGGACCAGGCTGCCCAATGCCTGGGCAGGGCAGGGGTGTCAGGGGTCCCAGCCTGGCGTCCGGGGCTGGCTTGGGCAGGTGCTCACGTCTGCAACGGGTGTCCTGGCTTCACCCACCCCCGGAGGCGAGGAGGCGGATTCAGGGCGGGGCCATGGATGCCAGGTGAGACCGAGCCGATGGGCAGCTCTGGGGCTGCCACCTGCCCACTCGCACGCACGTGCACACGCACATGCACACTCGCCCGCCTGGCACGCGGACGGAGCTGTTCTCCCAGCCCCCGAGGCTCCCCCTTGCTCCTTCCCGGGTACGAGGAAGTCTCGTGTCAGGGGCCCCTGTGCTCCAGCGCACGAGCTCCTTGCGGGCAGAGGCGTGTGTCACCCAGTGATACCCAGCAGAGGTCTGCTGCGTGGAGGGAGGGTGGGCGACCGGGTAAACGGGCGGGGCTGGGTGAAGCCGGGTGGGCACCCACCTAACACGAGTACTTTCACTCAGAGCCGCTCACACCAGCTGCCGGAAGCAGCTCTCTCCGTGCGAAGAGTCCACTAACTACCTTCTAAGTGACCACCAAATAACCAGCAGAGCTGGCGAAGAACGCCGCCCCTTCTCACAAGCGGACGCTGAAGGGCGTTTCTAACAGGAGTATTTGCGAATATAACGTTTGAATGCGGGGTGGGTAGATTTTCTTTTCTATCTTAATGAAAAATTTATGGTTTTATGTAGCAAACTATGTTTATGTTCCAGAATTCATGTAACTGAACTTCACAACAGGTACAAAAGTCCCTCCCTGCACATGTGGGCGTGTGGGGAAGGGCACACGCCTATTTCTCCCCCCCCCCCCTCCCCCCCCTGGTCTCACGCTCACCTCAGAAGAGCCGATCAAGGAGCCAGAAGAACCGAATTCCATTATGGTGTGATTTTAGCAGATCATGAACCTCTAGGAGCCTCAGTCTCCTCTTTGTTTAAATATATCTGCCTCTCTGGGTTTTTAAGGGAATTAAATGAATTTCTGCTGGTTGATACTTTTCCAACTGGGATATAAATTCCCCTGAGGAAATTTAGAAATGTCCTGAAGGCTCATGAAGCCATAGGATATACATGTTCCTCCTCACCAAAGTGTCAGAGCTTTGAAGAAATAATATTTCCTATGAAAACAAACATGAATTTAAAATAGAGAATAATGTGTGAAATGCAAGAATTTTTAAGATGAAACTTGAGACTCTAAAGAAATTTCAAACCTGGAACTCATGGCTTCAGGCTCTGCCCCTGATCTGTTTCTTTTCGATGGTGGGTTGAGTTGTCCCCCTTTCCCCCAAAGATATGTTCTTGTCCAAAACCCCTCGTACCTGCGAATGTGACCTTATTTGGAAGAGGGTCTTTACAGGTGAGGCCATGGGGGTGGGCCCTAATCCAGTATGACTGATGTCCTTCTAGGAAGAGGAGATGCCACGTGAAGATGGAGACACAGAGGGAGAGGTGACGGAGGCAGAGGCTGAGGTGACACAGGGCAAGCCAAGGAGCACCAAGCGTCGGCCACACCAGAAGCTGGAAAAGTCTCAGAGGAAGCACAGCCCTGATACTCTTGATCTCGGACTTGCGGCCCCCAGAGCTGGGAGGGAATAAACTTCTATTGTTTCAAGCCCTCTATTACAGCAGCTCTAGGAAACTGACACACTCCCTGACTTAGAAAAGTGTGGGAAGCCCTAAGGCTGGCAGACCTGTGACCACACCAGGCCCTGCCCCATCAGCTGTGCAGCCATGGGCAAGTCACTTCGGCACTCGGAGCCTCAGTTTCCATCTCATGTGGGTCCAGCCCATTCCTGGCAGATGTCGCCTGTGTCGTGATTAATGCCCACTGCTACTGTCCTGCTATTACGTGTGGGTAACTGTACCAGCACTATCCACATCCTGGCCACCGTCTGAGGGGAGCTGGGCCTCCGGGTGGCAGGCCCGATTGGGCCCAGGAGGAGGGACGCAGCTCAGGCCATGCCCCGGGGCGCCAGCCGGGGAGGCCACAGGGATCACGCAGCCTGAGAGCTCAGAGAAGGTGCTGACCAGACTCGCAGCTCCCTCCGCCCGCCTCGGACCCAAGGACTGAAGCCAGTGAGGGGCGAGAGACCAGGCCCCAGAGAAGTCTCTTGTGCCCCCCGGCCCTGGGAGGCGGCAGTGAGATTCTACCCCAGCCCGAGGTGCCTTCCTGCTCTCAAACCAACCGACCTCACACGGGTGCACGGGCAGGTTTCCTGGAGAAAGTGGGCTCAGACCAAGCCAGGAGGGGGCTGCACTGCAGGACCTGCCCGCCCGTCTGCACTCTGCCATCACGGGAGCCCTCGGGGCAGCACAGGGCCAAGCGCAGAGCAGGTGATGGTAAGTATTTGTTGAGGTGAATCAAAGCAGGAGGAAGGAAGGGAAGGCGATTTCCTTCCTGGCTAACCAAGGTCTCCCCTTTGCTCTGTGGAGAGTTCTGGGAACCGTCCAGCACATTTGGGGTTCAGGAGAGGGATATCTGAGCTGCCTGCTAGAGCTCTGCCCTCATCTCCTCCCGGGACCAGGCGGCTGGCCGGAGAGGGCTGTATGGCCGGGCAGCATCCACAGGGAGGCCAGCCAAGTGTGGCTCTCCAGCTGCCCCGAGAATGCATCCGGAGCCCCAGCCCCGCAGCCTGCCCGGCCCGGGGAACGTCTGGGCACCGTGGCAAAGGCACCATGCAGAAGGTGGGGCTGCGGCCTCACCCAGCTCGGTGCTCCTGCTAGGAGGCCCGGCCGGCTCAGCCCGCCCAGCTACCCCCGGGGTCAACCCGCTCGGTGACCTGAGGCCCGAGAGCCCTGCAGCCCAGCCGGTGTCCGCCCTCCACCCCACGGTCTCTCCTCTACCCTGTGGACTCAGAAGGCTCTGCACAGGAGGGAGTGCAGTCCCCTTTTCCAGAAAGCTCTGGAAACAGCCCCAGCTCGAGGCTCCTCTCTCCTGGAGCCAGCGCAGACCCACGCACTCGTCCCACCAGGCCTCACCTCACGCAGCCCGTGGGCGCCGCGGGGGCAGCTCCGTCTTCTCTAGCTCCCTTCCTGCGATGGAGTGGGTGCCCCGCTGCTCTGACTGGGTGGGGCAGAGCTCTGGTCTCTTGGTTGGCATCTTGGCACTCAAGTCCTCCTGAGAGAAACTCAGGGAGTGCTTTCCCCCCAACTTCATTCACTGACCATCTCTTAGAAGACTTGAGGGCAACCTTCTCGTCCATTTTACGCTGGTCTCACAGCCCCCACGTCAGGAGTCACATCTGACCCACGTGTCCATCTGAGCACGTACCAGGTGCCTGGCACTGTGGCAGACGATCTTGCACCTGCCTGCCATGCACCATCTCCCAGCTGGTGGGCGTGCCAGCAAGTAAGTGATGCCCAACAGGGGCTTGAGGGTAGCGATGAGGGCACCCAGGGGCCACTGAGGGGGGATGTCCCCCAGACAGGGCAGGGAGTGCGTTCCTGGAGAAGGTGCCGGCCGCCACTCAAGTTCACAAGCTGCCATTTTTAGCACCTATTAAGTGCCAAGAGTCTATGTCCATATCTCCAACTCTCAGGAACGTCCATGCTGTAAATCATTACCCTCTTTACGAAGAGGAAATCTGAGGCCCCAAGAGATCAAGTGGTGTGCCTGTGACGGCAGGCTGTTCAACGCGGGCCTCTCTGCACGCCAAGCTCATCCTCAGCTCCTACGCCGCACGGCACCCCAACAAGGCAGCATCCTGCTGCAGCCCCACTTGGCAGCCTCAAGAATTGGTGAGACCTGGGGGGCGGGGATGGAGAAACATAAGCACCTGTAGGAATGAGACCAGTGGGACCTTCCCCTTCCAAGCGCTAAAAGCAACTTCCCTGTCAGGAGGCCCGGGGCACCCCGGTGACCCGTCTTAGCGGGGTTGGGGTGTCAGGACAGGCAGGCTGGGAGCATGCGGTCTTCCCACCCACGGTCTGGGGCCCTCAAGCTTTGGGATCCACAGCAGTTCTCCCGTCCAGGGGCAGCTTTCAGTGCCATAAACGCTTGGGGCCACAAGGTGGCGCCTGCACCCCTCCCTCAGGGCCAAGAGCTCAGACAGCTTGAACTCAGCAAGGCAGCTGGGGCACTTGCTGCGGGGGACCAGAGACAGCTTCTGCCAGAGGGGCATCCTGGAGCCTTTCAGAATGCGGGGCCTCGGTGATGCCAGGGATGGGGAAAGGACCCCCAAGACGGAGGGAGGACCTGGAGGTCTGAAAGTGTGTTTGAGACAGTTCCCAACTTGGCTGCGCCTGAACCCAGATTTACGAGCAAGGTCCTAGTTTTACATCACAGTTCCCCAGTTGTCATGAATACTCTGTCCTTGTCACCTTGCACATTCCAATGTTTTTGTTCAGAGAAGACTCATAGGGTCTGTGGGCAAAGTTGGAGGGACAGGAACCTGGAGAGATGGGCCTTGAATGCCAGGGTAAGGGGTTTGTTTAGGACTCAGAAGGTGACAGGGAGCCTCTGGAAGGCTCTAGATCACTCTGGCTGCATGTGAGGGGAGTAGGCAGGGTCACTAGGGAATAAGCCACATCCTGCATTGGGGACCTGGGCAAGGAAGTGGAGCAGAGATGGACCGTTCCCAGAGATGGTACCCCTTGTCCTGACACTTCTGCCCCGTGTCTGCACCCTCAGCTCCACATCCTTCTCTACATGGTCACACGAGGGCACGTCCTCCCACCTCAATGCCCTCTGCCACCCTTGGTCCCAGGCTCAGTCTTCCTATCAAAGCATGACCTTCCTATGTCCCATTCTTTCCAAGCTCTGCTAAGAAGGAGCTGATAAGCTTATGGCCACTTTGTGCCTCTGGACTAGCAAGTATGCATACGCACATAATCCTTCTGTTTCAATGTCTTAGCCCAAAGGGGGGACCCGTAGTGAAATTTCAGGCAGAATGGCAGGCCCATATTTGGAGATGACCAAATATGGAAGGTAGGAGCCTTCTGAAGTGCCTCAAATCATATGAGAGAAATAGGTCCCCATCATAACCAGTAAAATTAGCTCCCTTGGACACTAGGACTCTTCTCTGGTTCCCAAGGCCATCTCCTGCTTAATTCACAGTGACGACACGTCGACCAGCTGGTCCACCGTTAGCGTCTGGCTCTGCCCCAGGCCCCCTTTACTGTAGCTAGAAGGTGGTTACAGTTTGAACTCGGAGCAAGGGACAATTTGCGGCCCAGCAAGATGAAGTAAGAGGAAGTCCTGGGACTTCCCTGGTGGTCCAGTGGTTAAGACTCCACTTTCCCAATGCAGGGGGCCCGGGGTTCAATCCCTGGTCAGGGAACTAGTCCCACATGCATGCCGCAACTAAAAGATTCCACACGCCACAACGAAGATCCCGCGTGCCGCAACTAAGACCCTGCGCAGCCAAATAAATAAGTTAAGGAAAATAAGAGGAAGTCTTATTTTAATTATTTGCCATAATAGTTTCAGAAAGAGGGGCAGATTAGCTCAGCCCAGTATGATTGGCATTTGGCAAAATCTAGAGAAGCAAGTGCTCTGATAGCTTAGGATTTAACAGGGATGCTATATTACTGTTTAGCCATTAACATTTCAAATGTGATCCAGATGCAGTTTTAAAAGTGGATAAATCCACCAGAAACTAACACAACATTGTAAATCAACCATACTTCAATTAAAAAATGGATAAATCCAAGTTTAATAAATGGATAAATCCAAGGAAAGTTTTTTAAGAAAAGACACTTTTACATGGCAAAAAGCACTATAAGCAAAGTCAAAATGACATACTGAAGGAAAGTACTTGTGATGCATGTATCAAAGATAAAACACGAATATGATTAATATTTAAAGAACTCTTTAAAATGTGAGGGAAAAGACCAAAGTTCCAACAGAAAACTGGGCAAAAAACATGGATATACAATTCACTAAAAATGAAATAAACGGCCCTTAAACATAGTAAAAAAATGTTCAACTTCACTCATAATAAGAGAAATACAAATTGTAACTATACTGAAATGCCATTTTCACCCATCAGGTTGGCAAAAATTCAAAAGCTTGACAACACACCACATGGAGAGGCTGTGGAGAAATTGGCGTTCTCTGGCATTGCTGGTGGAAATCAGAGGGGTAAAGCCCTATGGGGTGATGTGACAATACCGAATGAAACTAGACGTGTATTTAACCCTTGCCCCAGCAACCCCATTTCCAGGAATTTACCCTGAAGATTTATTTCCAACTTTATGAAAATACTTATGTGCATGGTTAGTCACTGCAACATTATATGTAATAGCAAAATAGTGGAACTGCCTCGATACCCATAATCAGAGAGAGCATAAATTAAACGTGGCACACCCACAAAACGGACCACTAGGCAGCTGTAAAAAGGAATGAGAAAGAGTTCTAAAAGTTCTTATGGAACACGATTCCCAGAATATACCGTTAAGTAGAAAAATAGAGTGATACATTGTATGTTATCTTTTGTGTAAAAAGAGGAATAAGAAAATACATACAAATCTGCTTATTTTTGCCAAATCACAAGAAGGGTAAACTAGAAACGAATGAAACCACATTTAATTACCCACAGGGGTGGGGAGGAATGGAGTGAAAGGGAAAGGAAAGAGAATGATATTTCTCTGAATATACTTGTTCTGCATAGTTTTGACAAACTTTTGGAACTTTGTTAATGTGTCACATGTTGAGTAAATAAAATTCCATCAGTATGGATAGGGAGCTCACCACCCCTAAAACTGAATAAAACCAAAACAAATAAACTGAACTATATATCAAATCGATAACATAACCGCATAAGAAAAAGGAGGGAAAAAAAGAACTAATCCAAGTAGCTTTGAATGCAGTACTTAGACTTTATACCCTTGTATAAACACAAAAAGAACTGCAAAGAATCTTTAACTTTACTTAATAATTTTGTGGTTGGTAGAGATAGGAGTATAAGTATTCTGAGACAATTTTTGTGTATCATAAGACTGAGAAAATGAGATACTGTTAGGAGCCAGAGTTTTCATTGTGGGAGAAAGGAGGCATAAGTAAGAAACAGAGAAAGGTGAGTGTATTAGTTTCCTAAGGCTGCTGTAAAAAGTACCACAAACTGGGTGGCTTAAAACGACAGAACTGTTTTGTTTCCCAGTTCTGGAGGCTGGAAGTCCCAGATCAAGGTGTCAGCAAGGTTGGTGCCCTCTGAGGCTGTGAGGGAGATGACTTCTCCCCTAGCTTTTGGTGGTTTGCTAGCAACTCTGGCATTCCTTGGCTTATAGAAGCATTGCCCTCATTTCTGTCTTTGTCTTCATGTGCTGTTCTCCCTGTATGTGTCTCAGTTCCCCCTTTTTAAGAGCGGATAAATCCGGGCTTCCCTGGTGGCACAGTGGTTGAGAGTCTGCCTGCTGATGCAGGGGACACGGGTTTGTGTCCCGGTCCGGGAAGATCCCACATGCCGCGGAGCGGCTGGGCCCATGAGCCATGGCTGCTGAGCCTGCGTGTCCGCAGCCTGTGCTCCGTAACGGGAGAGGCCAAAAAAAAGAGAGGGCCCAAAAAACCCAAAAAAAAAAAAAAAAAAAAAAATGATGACAATAATGGATTATAACATATTGAATCAAAAAGAATGCATGAGTCCACAGTGATCCTAAAAATGAAACCAACATACAAATAAACTGGGGGAGATGGGAAAGCTCTTCTTTATAGTAGAAAGATGACAAATGTGGAAGGGATGAGAGTTAGAAAACAAACCTTCTGCAACCATCACTGAGTAACTGATTCAAACAAGAATTTTCAAACCATTGAGTAAAAGATCGTTGGGTAAACAGACATTTACAGTCTCAAAGTAGCTCCCCAGAGATTATTTAGTAATTACAAAGAGAAAAGGTAGATATCTTTATGGTAGAGAAACACAGTGGAGAAGGTAGAGCGCACTGCCTCTGCCTTTACCAGCGGTTAAGTAAACATCAACAGTGATGACACACTCTGACATCAGGTACCTCCTGGTGTAACCCACTGAGAAGAACACAGTGGCACTTACGCACGGGTCCTGCCAAAACTGAGACATCCAAATCAAATCTTGAGGAAACAATCCAACAAATGCAAACTGAGGGAGGCTCTCAAAACAGTGGGTTTGTATTCTTCAAATACATCAGTCATGAAAGACAAAGAAAGGCAGAGAAATTTCCAGGTTAAAAGAATGGGATTTTTTTTTTTTTACAGGAGCTTAGACATTTACCCTAAAATTTACATAGAAGTAAAAAAGATCCTTGACTAGGTAAGTCATCTTTAAAAAAGGAAAGCAAAGAGGGAGGATTTACCCTACCAGAAGTTAAGACCTACTACAAAGCCATTGTAATAAAAATAGCCCTAAAAGAGACCAATGGACCAATGCAATACAGCAGAGCACTTAGACTCATGCATATTTGCAAAGTTAATATAAGATAACTTGGCATCACTAATCAATAGGGGAAAGATAGATTTTTTTTTAAAGGTAAATGGTATTGGGAAAACTGGCTCACTCTAAGGAGAAAGATAAAACTGTTCCTTACCTAACACAACATAACCTATCCCAAAGATCCACTGACATTTTACACAAGAGATATCTGAAAGGCAAGCAAACATATGCTGTTAAACTCATCAATAACCACAGAAAAGGAAACCAGAATAACAAAAGGCTGGGTTCCCACAGCAAAGGGCTCAATGAGCCAAGAGCCAGGGAGGGGAGAGGCAGGAAGCAGGGAGAGGCCCCTGAAGTGCGCAGTGGGAGCAGGAACTCCTCCAGCAATTAACCAATTAGG